AAACAGAGATCTCTTGCACCGCATGGGATATGGTTTAAGAGTACTCTGTCAATCTCTCGTACCTTCTTATTGAATCCTTTACTCCTTTATATCTATACCCTCCCTGATCGAATTGATCCCCAACATTCTTTATGACATAGTCTTCCTTTCAGTATCCCATTTATTCACTTTGTCTTCTGCATCCTCTCGAAACGCTCTTCCCAATCTTCAAACCACTTCAGTACTTCACAAATTTTGCCCAAACTCCCCTCAGCTTTATTCGCAGAATCTACTGCTCGAAATCCTCTTATTTTCACATCTTTCAGCAGTCTCCTGTACACCAACTATTGTTGAGTAACATTTACCTGCATTTCTCTATCATCGTTCTTCAGCAAGACCACGATTTGATTTGCCAAGTGAATCGGCACGGAATCCGCTATTATCTTTCGTATGAGGTCACCTGATACCGTACTACTTCCAAGAGCCTGAAATCGCCAGCATTTTGGAGAAGAAAAAGAAGGAAGGCTAAATGGGGTGGTCCCAGTCAGCTACTAATAGTTATTACCGTGAAGAACTTTGTGACAAAAGCTTCGGAATTTCCAGGAGACAACTCCATGGTCGCACTAGGGACTACATTATTCAGCATTCGCATAATGTGATCCCAAATCAATGATGTGAACCTCTTCGTGTCCATCTCTGAATTCGGCAAAATGTGAGACATGACAATTCACAAAATCTTTTGAAATGTACAATACACAACTACGTTACTCTATTTCTTTTCTCGAAAAGACAAGACCACCGCTACTGGCTCTTCGGTCAGTAGTAGGATAGCCTCTAGTCTCAGCCTCCAATTTAAAAAGTGTGCTTAGAGCGCGTTTATACTTCGTGATCCGATCTGCTTATCGGATTGGCGCAGGTATGAACGCGTTCTGAGATAATGTTAATAAGAAGATAAAGGGTTGAATATAGGTAATCCCGAGCCATCGCTCGTAAACTAGTAGACATCCCTAGATAGTTGACTCGGCCTAACTGCTACGTTGCATCGATCGTGTTCTGGTGTGAATGCCTGCGCGACCCCGTTCGCACATTGCTTCTTTTCGCCGCGCACTTCGGCGACTAACGACATAAGCTGAAGCTAAGGGCGGAGTGAGAACGATGGCGCGTTGTCCACAGGCATCGGAATGAGCTTTCAAAGAGGAATCTCGACAACAACATCCGGATCTATCAATATAGCAGCACTGAGCAAGAAAGGATTGGCGCACTTGCCGGCTTGGTGGGGCTTTTTTTGCTGGTTCCCATCGATTACAGCCGATGCCTCCTTACAAACTCTGTAAAGCTATGCAACCGCCGTCGTTTACACTCGACAAGATTTCCACGTTTCAGCAAGGTGAGATATGTAATTCAAGAGAAACTAGCAAAAAAAATAGCGAAAATGCAAAATGCCTCCCCCGAGCCAAATAACGTCAAGAAGTTAAGTGTGTCTCCATGGTGTAACACTTGCCTCTCGTTGTTGAATATGCGAGAACAGCGTATATCCAAATGGGCACCAACTGGCCGACCAAGTGTGAAGATTGACTTGGTAACCTTGCTAGCACTCCATTACAGAATGCGAACAAGAAATCCGCATCAGGATGTGCACTGAAAAATCGGAAAGATACACAAAATCCGCTAAACTATCGATCGTACTGATTCGCGGTGCTTGACATTCGATGTTGAGGGACATAACTGACAGTACCGAGTCACAGATGAATCAGGCATAGATCGGGAAGTGTTTAAGGTACGATTCTTTTGCTCCAAATCCTGCCCGTCAACATTTCATGCATAATTGTAGCAGAATAAAGCGTGTCAAAAACTAATTCTACAGTCTTGTTTGCTGCGGATGAAGAGGCAAGCTGGGTGGGTAGCGATTTGGCGCTGCGCCAAAAGCATAGGTCTTCAAATCCTTTGATCAACTCATCAGATAACCAACTCACCAATTCATCTTTTCTACAGTCGACTTGAATCGTGACATTGATTGAGGTGATCTACTCTCCAGTCCGATGGAAAGCTTAAATGAAAACTATAATAGCAAAATAAGAAAACCAAGTAGATCAGAAGTTGTCCAGTTTCAATCACACATCTGGGAATCCATCCATTCCATATCTTAGACAAAATACCTCATCTACTCATTCAAAGCTGTTCTCAACATAACGAAAATTTCATTCTATCATGTCTGAGAGGTGGGTGGAGTATAAGAAGACCCACCTGATTCACGACAAACTCTCGAAGTTTGCCATCAGCAGGTCTCGATGCAAGAAGGCTTGCTGCTTTATCCCATATAGAACCAGGAATTTCAACAGGAGCATCTACGAGCGAGTAGAGAAATCCAAGCAGTTCTGGAGTTGATACCGCCGTGACAAAACGATTAACATCTATAGAAGCCAGCTGCTTGGAATATCTCAGCATAGAGGAGAATCTCGTAGCAAAAACTTTACTTCTTTCAGGCAACGGCAGAGAGTTCATACCTAAAAGTACGCGAATTCCAATTGGGAAGGCAACAAACCTGACAGCTTCAGAAAGGTTGTTTATTCGATACCAAACTTAAGAAATTTCCAAAAAGATGATGGTAAGTCATAATTCACCAGTAAAATTGAAACAGCTGTTTCAAAAAGATTTTACGAGAGGAAGCACTGCAGCAACATTTAGACCGCGTTTATAGTTTGCGACTGAGTATATTCGGCGATTGCTGAACTTGATAGACTGCGCAGCGAGGATAGTGTAGGTATCGAACTGACGATTGGAGACACGCCGAGTCGCTCTGAAAAGTGGATAGCCGATTCTCCCAAATAGCCAAATCGATATCTACATGTTCCTATTCGGCAACCTCATCGATTCGCCTGACTTCCCAAACGCCGAATCTCCTCAGCTTTAACACGTTGACGACGGTGTCGGACAATGGTGGGCGACAGCCAGTCTGTCTCATGGGACGGTGTCGGACAATGCTGTCCGACAGCATACTGCTCTAATAATAAAGACGTGCGAGCAACCAAATTTGTTCAAAAATCCTATAGGATAGCTGAAATTCTGAACGAACAGCACCATGTTGCACCCGGACCTGCCCGGCGCCTCGCGCCACAGGCGCCCGGCGCCAAGTAGTACCTTAGTCACCTAAATGCGCTGAAAACTCTTTCGGGTGGGCGGTACGCTTGAACGCGCAGAAAACACGGAATATCACATTCGTTTCCCGCGAAAATGCTCGGCGCCAAAATACTTCAGGTCACCAAAATCGTTGAAAACTTGTCTCGTGGGTTAGCTTGACCCCTGAACACAAATATCACAATCGCTTGCCACAAAACTGCCTAGCGCCCCGCCAAAATGTCCTATAGATCATCAAATTCCCTGAAACTTGTCACTTACCGGTGAACCGACCCCCTCAACAAAAATATCATGTCCACTTAACGCGTTGACAGCGACATTCCGCCATGCGTGGACGAACAGAAAGTATTTCCTTGTGCGAACGGCTCCCCAATGCTGTCCTACAGTATATATACTCATACATCTACCGTATTGTTCACTTTCTTTTCAGTATAAATTGATTTTCACAGAACAAACATTCGGTTCGATGGGATGCGGAATTGCTTTTCTTTAGGAATCGAACCACGCCGGGAGACAAATTTCAGTCAATTCTGTTCTGTTTTGGAGGTACAGTAACTTAGTAATAAAAAAAACAATGGCGGTGTATTGTCCGGAAGATGGAGCCCAATAAGAGCTAATCATTGTGGCAGAGAATCCGAGATTGATACTCGGCTTTGCATTTTCGCTATTTTCTCGTCGTCTTAATTGATTATTGGAAATTGCACCAGATTTCACTGGGTACGAAAAATTGCCGTACCACGCGCAAGTCATTCGGGATAAAATGCCTCGCTTCAATATTGAAGCAGCCTTACTGATCTACTCTCCGAATGACTGAATTGAATCAAGGAAAACAACTCACAGTTGATCACTGTACTTGTTATATTTGCTTTCTTTCCAAAGTCCCTCTCGTTCACAACTAAGTTAAGCACATCAAGAGCATTAAAGAACATGGTGCACTGCGTCTCGTTAGCACGCACAATGGCTCCCGAGATCCATTCACAGACTTTCGCGGGTAACTCTTCCCATTCTGTAAAAGTGCTGTTATCCTAGAGCTTCCACAGAGTAAAGCACCTAGGAGAAGGCGAGAGGCGCATGAAAAAAGGCTCGTTGAGCACCTACATATTCAGTGAAACACAGCGAATATTCTCGCAAAGGCAGGAAAGCAGTGGCGATACATAAGTCCACTCAATTGATTAAAAAATCGGAAAAAGCGAAAAAGCAGCGATCTTCACCAATAACCACTTTTTTTGCAGAAACTTCTAACAGAGGAAAATCAGCCCGGAGGTGGAAACCTATAGAATTAGGACTTGAAAGAGGGAATGCAGAACATAAGGATGCAGAAATCAAAGAGATGGGGCGACCAACGTTGGGGACCAAAAGGAGAAAAAAGACTTCTGAGCCCGAACTGTTGCAGTATTGTTCGTAGCGAATGCTGGGGCGTGTCAGGGAGGCTGGATTCGGTCAGCCCTTTTTCCACCAACTGTGGTCGCCTTCTAGTAGCTGCAATTGCTGAAGAACGATCTGGCACCACCTTTGACGCGCCTAGCATCCGCAGCAAACAAGACTGTACCACCTTGGCAGGCGCAACACCACATTCCAAACGCTGACGAACCTTCTATTCCTGCAACAAGTGCTAGAAGCATCGAAAGCATCGAAGGGAGCACACACCCACTGATGAGCAGCTTGACGCTTGAATATCTATTGATCACGATGCCGCGGCAGGAACTTAGTTGATCATCTGAATAAAAAAAGGACAATCGTATTACAGTGTCAAAAAAGGTACAGCATCGTCGTGAAAATCTCATCAGGGGTCGTAGTTGGTCGTTTGGGGAGAGAGGTCGTATATGGCCCTAGCGGAATTCCTTCAGGGCCGCGAGATAAATTTTTCACTTGTCGGCTTTTCGCCGCATCCTCGTTTCTGGTGCGTTGCATCCCTTGCTTGTTGGTAGTACTGCAATGACTACACACTATTTTCGATAGCTGGGAAGTCGGGAAACCCAAGAAGGTTGTAGGTAAAAGGGTGTGAGGGGTCGTACCGCAGGAAGAATTTTCGGGAGAGGGGGAGTGAGCATCATTTCCCCAGTCCTGCTGCTGTACCTCGGCCAAAAAGTGCAATGAGAAGAATGCATACTGAATAATATCACTCACCCTGAAAGAAGTCTCGCCAGGAACGCTATAAGCAACGGTTCCTCAGCAGCGCAGTACTTGAATGAATTTGTCACACCTTCTGCCCATCGCGTGGGATCTCCTCGACTCAGTTTTTCCTTAATGAAGACTATTGGCATTCCAGTTTCAGCATTTGGAATACAAGTAAAAAGGATTACTCCCTAACCAGTTCAGGTAGATCGATAGCATCAACTGTTTGAAGGATTTTTGTGACAAACTTTGAAGCGAATTTCCTGAAAGATCAGCAAGCGTGTAGTGTGATTCACTAATCATGAATAAAATCGTGAGTTGGGCTGGCAATTTCTACAAAGGCGATCACTAACCAAAGAGGGACCATCAAAAGATGTACTAACTACAGAGCGGAAATATATCAGTGGAAGCCCATGCCAAGAATCAGTCCAACAGGAAAATGAGCTGTTCTGGGTATGCCATACATAAAATGTCCAAAGACAGTCCCCGCACTCAGTCAATTTGTAGGCGACCTTCCTTGTTCATGTATTCGCCCTAGCTCTTTAAGATTACCTCCCTTTCCACATTCCACGGGAAGTAACGAAAGCGCTGCAGCCCTTACGAGTGACAGTTCTGACGCCTTTTGAGTTGTCCCGCCTACAGAAACTTGGATGCTATTTTCTGTCACGAGTTCAGTTTTCACACGAACTCTTACAATAAGACTGCCAAGGGACCTTTAAGATGCCTTCCAAGATTTTTTTCTCTCCCATGGAGAGTAACTTAGCGACAACAGGTTCGCCATGCAACGCAGCTATCCGCTATTACGGGGTATGTTTTTGGAAGGTATGTCTAAGGTAAACGCAGATCGCATACTGACTCCCCACTGACAGCGCATTTGTAGCGCTTGTTGTCACTGCCCACTGTTGTTATTTCATTGATCTGAATACGTACCTTATTTTCACAAGTCCCTTCACGTTGTACTTCTGTAGAAACGAAAGAAGAACTTTGCATGTGGGAAGAAGGGCTGTATCGCATAGCAAATCTCCCATTCCTGCCACCAAGACAAATCTCGCCATAATCTCATCAGAAGCTGGAAAAGATAATAAATACTCCCTATCACTGAAAGCACGCAACAGAGGTGTTGAAACTGATCTAGCATTTGTATTCCAGAAGGTAACTTACCAATCATTCGAATATCAACAAGGTGGGAGATAACCTCAGAGAAAAATACCAGAAAGTTCTCAGAAGTTGTCATCAGCGACCCAAGTGCGTCTGAAAGTAGAAGTTCTTAAAATGCAGGGCGAAGAGCTCGTCAACTAAGTCTTGCAAAGACTCACGTCGCTGGTTTGGTGGATATGGACTTTCGCCTTTAGTCAAGCTTTGCACAATGTGGAAACTACTTTGAAGTAACTGATTGGACTGGGTTTTGTATAACTCCAACAGAATTGATTGGACGCATGAGCACGGCACGGCTGAACCCTAATTATAAAATCGGTACTTCAGAGATAGGTTAGGTTTGATACTGCGGGAAATTAGCAATACTTACACAACTCTTCCTCAGCACTGCTAATCCATCTAGAAGCACAACGAAAGCGTTGCCTGCAGTCAGAAGGCATTCGTCGCTAGAGAGCGGCTCAGATTCTATAAATTACCTCATATTCTGTGAAAGAATGATCACAGGAGATAAGCAAAAAATGACCAAGTGATTTCCTATATTGAGCGTGCGTTCATACTTGTCAGCGATTTGAGCGTAGGGCAGCATCGTGAGCGGCTAGGAATACAGACATCGACCCGGTGTTTCGATAGTTTTGAGTTTATCACAGAATATTGCTGAAAAAAGCTATCGTTCATGCTGGATCGACAACTATAGTTTCCTAGAAGCTGCAAACACTGGCAAACGCTCCAGACGCTCAAAACGCTGCCGTCCGCTCGAAACGATGACTCAAAGTATGAATGCAGCCTATACACTTCCTAGCAGAACGAAAACTCACTTTGACGCTGAGCGAGTAACTTGCAAGCAGCACCCCATGAGAATAATGCAGCATGGAAAGGAATATTCTGAAAGTTTAAGCAGTAAACCACAGGTATGAGCGGCCAGAAAAATTCTGAGACAGAGCACTGACGCTGCGTAACAAAAGGATATAGCAAACCTGGGAGCAAGCGTTAACTGGTAAGGACGATACTGCCTTACTAAGCGATCCAACTTTTAGCAGGAAGCGTGACAGATATGTACGGTAACATGAAGCCACTTTATCCGTCATACCGACATCCATACCGGTGAATTCTATTAGACCAAGCACTAAACGACCACATTCAAATAAATCGAGACCAAAAACAGCTGTTTGAAACGTCGCTTGGAAAATTGAAGTGGAAATGTATGTAAGATCGGTATGTAAGATCGGTATACTCTTGGTTTCAAGCGCGTTCATAATTTGCGTCAGCGTTCTAGGGTTTCGTTTTGAACTATAGGTATCCAACCAGCGTTTTTAGCTAAACGCTCAAAACGGGTTAAGAGTATGTTCATACTTCAGGATTCGAGTGTCTGATGGCGTGACCAGAGCGATTGAATCGCTAAGTATGAACGTACCACATTAGCACTACTCAGTTTCCATAAAATATGGTGCAGCGAAGGGAGGGGGAAGACTAGAAGATTCTCTACTTTCACCATACCTTGCATGAACTCCTTCATATTTGCAATACTGGGTGAAGAAGAAAGTCGTCGAAATATTTTGAAAAATCTACCAATGAAGCAAATATCGATGCCTATTTGAAGTTCAAGGCTAAACAAAAACAAAAACAGCTCATGCGATGCAAGTCCGGAGGAGAAAGAAAAGACCGGAATGCCTGAACAGAAGAGGATTTACCAGTGGTGTCGGAAAAGATATGGGGCCCAGCTGAGCGAAATCTGTGTACTCTTCTCGTAATGATGGTAACACCCGAGATCCAGTACTGCCCGCTGAGGAGCGAACAGGAGATTCAAGCACAGCATCAAATGAAACTAAACAGAGTATGATTCGTTGCAGCAGAACTAAATGGCCTTACACATGCTACAATATAACACAAACTGACCTCCGCCGCAATTGAATTCACGAACCCATGGCTCTCTTTCAACAGCAATATCAATTTGTCGATGAGTGAGTGTAGCGAGTATATCCTGACTTTGGGCGAAACTTGTAAACTCTACATCCATCTAAATGAGTTAACTATAATGCTGAGGACGAGCGACAGCTGAGTATGTACGAAACACTGACGACACTTTCAAACTCCACGAAAGCGCTATCTTATACCGCTTTCGTGAGCTTTGAAATTGTCTTTGCCTAACTCAGTCTTAACTCTTCTAAGTGGAAGCTATCTTGCTATCTCAGATTTCTTCCAATGGTAAAAGTAGAAATCTTAAAAAGATTTGAAGTCACTCTAGGAGCTCGTTCACACCTCGCGAACTACAAATGCACTAGGGCAGCGTTCATACTTTGCGGCTCGGGAGAATTAAGTGAATCGGCGAATGGACATTTCAGAGAATGCGAAAATGGGATAGATGGGTATCAACAGACTTAATCAGTAGCGCAGTTTTCGTGCTCCAGCATTTCCTACGCCTCCCTAGCATATTAACGCGGAAGAGACAGACATGAAGTAGAGCCTTGGTGCACCCTTCCCACGGTCCTTGGATCAAGTCCAGCTCAGACAAACTAGAGCCATCGCACTTTTGGTTCTTGTTGATCGGTTTGGACCTGCTAGAAGGCATAATTTACCGAAAAAGACTTGCTCACCGGAGATTCTCTGGCTGTGAGGGTTCAGAGGTGTTTTCTCATCAGCGAGCATTTGAAGGGAAGAAACTAAGGAAGAGGGAAGAGGAATCAGAGGAGGGAAAAGAAGGACTAACAAGTAAGGAAGGATGAGGGAAGCTTCGCGATTGACAGATATCCTGAGACCCAATGAATCTAGACAAGAAGTACTGCAACAAAGCATATTTTGAAAGAATTTAAGTTTATAACAAAAGAAATCCATCGGGAAATTTAAACCGATAAAATTTTGGCGCGTGGTGCATTGCAGACACCGCATGTTTTAGACGTGTGAACCAATGTTTTTAATTTTTCGGGATAACTGAAAATGTGTAGCATTGCAAGATGCGGGTTCTATTTTTGACTTATTTTTGCATTTCGTTCCCTTGGTTTCGCGGTTATCGTTTATCGTTGGGCTGGATTGTATTTTTTATGCTTTCTCATTTCCGTGGTATGTTCAGTTTTGAGCCGAGTTTCTCTGCAATTTGAAGCGGCATTACTAAATTATATAAGTTGGTTCCAATTAAGTTTAGCAAGTCTTATTGCTGTGTGGCTGTGGGCGCTGACGTATTTGAGGGGAGGGGGGTTAAGACGTTCCGTTAAGCAAGAGAGACAAACGATTAGTAGCTTTCTTTCCGGTGGGTCTATGCACATAATCTTCCAATTCGAAATTGGTCTATTTCCTGCATGAAAGATGCTGACTACTGTTCTGTTCTGTTTCAAACACTACCTTGGCGAGGAGGGAGCAGTTGAGTAGAATAGCATCGCCCGCCGCGTGGTCTCACCCTCCCCTCCCCACCCCAAATACGTTAGCACCTGGCTGTGCGGTATGAAGTTTAACATTCATGTTTCGTGCGTATTTTGATGTAATTCAACCGAATGGAAGTAGTAGCTACCTCAAATAGTTTTAGGCGATGAGTGCGAAGGAATACGCTCGACTCGTTCCTCGGGCACACCGGGCAAGAAGAACTCCGGTAATCGACCGGCCAATGAGGCCGAGAATGATAGCATGGGCTGGACCGGCAGCTTTTTATCCAAACAGGTTTGACATCATCTTGAACTCAAATGGAAAAGAAAGATTGCACGAAATTCCTAGAGAGTTGAAGGGGAAGAAAATTTACTCCGTATGCCATATCCTCTGTGAAGAGGCACTGACTAGTCCTCAAAGCTGTCATCTCGGCCGCTGAGGGCTTCTTTTGCTCCGTAGATCCCTGGGACGCCGCTTCTCGTTCATGTCAGGCTGCGTTCATGCTTAGCGTCGGCATACGCCAGCGTACATCCAACATACGGCTAGAATGCAAAAACACCTATACTTTCCTAGTTACTGGCGTTGATGTTTGAAACGCTCAAAGGTACGTTGACGCAAAGTATGAACCAATCCTCAGTAGCATCCATTGATTTGTCATGCGACGAGTTTTGTTGGTGGGACAATTCATACAAATCTCTAAGTCTTTGTTCGCAGTCCACCATTGGGAGACGCTTTGGTTTGAAAAACAGGAGATGACTCTGGTTAGGGCCGTCCCGTAGTTCAGCGATCCGGACGAGTTATCCGGCTTGAAAGATACGACCCATCAACCGGATCATAACACGTCAGTCGCGCTGTATTCGCGTCATGCGAATGCCTCCATTTTTTTGTACCCTACGCGCTATCTTACCCGCTGCTCAGATTTCATTCCTGCAGTTCCGGGCATATAGTTCCAGTGGAGCTGCTAAAAAGTAGCATTTCACTGCATAAGGGCGCAGCGTTTTGCTCGCAGTTGGCAGTCCTCCGTGTAATCTGGATTTTGATAGCGCTAAGTCTATGTTCATACTTTGAGGCTCGGGTTAGGAAAATCTGCGCCGAGGGATTGGATTGATATGAAGAGACCGTATAAGCCGTGGAGGCCAATGTGATGAATGGTTAGCTCAGTCTGAAAGCGAAGAAAAGAAAATTCGAAATTCTTCATCCCTAGTGCCGTTGCAGCGGTCTTTTGATTGGCGGTTGAGCGTCCTGGACAATAGTCGCGCCATCCGCGCGATCGGATCGCTAAGTATGCACGCGCTCTTATTCATCAGTCGAAAATTATGGGCGCATTCTAATCGCCGACTTGGATTACTCTGTAAGTACTAGTAGTTCAGGTTCTATGAGATCGATAAATGGTACAAGGGCCGAATCGACAAGCCAGAACAAGTCCCAAAGCTGCATATCATTGATCCTACCAACCATTTACATTCGCTTTCGGAACTACAGGAGAGACGTGAGTTCTGAGTTCAGAGCGTGCATATTCGGTCGAAAACCTTTTATTTTTCAGTAAAGCCGAAGCCTACTCCAATCGACATTGGCTTTGCACCACGGCCAAAGCGGGTTTCAGTTGTTAAAACAGATGAAGAGCGTGCAGTTTTGGAACGGAAGGCTAGAAAAATGCAGTGTAAGTAGTTATCTTATTTGTCGTCAAAAGTTATTTTAGTCACAAAGTTCCACTTTACTTTCAGTGTTGGTGGATCCTGAAACAACTGAGTTCTCAAGTTTTACGGTTTTACAACATTATGGGATTTTTGAGCATTTGTTTGGAGCAGGTATTGTTACAGACTTGGTTGCTTTCTGAGCTTTCCAGAGACCCATTTATGAATTAAACAATTACTTTTGAAAAGTCGCGCGTTTGACGCCTTTGGGAAGGGGATGGGGGAAGGGGAGGGGAGGGTGTGGGACAGCGCATATACGTCCCTTCTTCTGACCAGAGCCCCTACCTGATCGCAGGCCACCAAAATGTCGTAGAGCAAACGTGCTCACGATGTCGCGAAACCTTTTCACGAGACCGCAAACAGTTGTATGGTTTCATGAACTACTTATGAAAATCGGGGGGGGGGGAGGGGTGGGAGACTCCTGGACTTTTTCCTAACTTTTCCAACGGCTTGTGTGAAGTTAGCGACATTGTAAACGAAGTACTTTCTGAATGAGGAGGGGGGGGGGCGGGACTCGTGCACTCCTTCCTAATTTTTTCAGCGGCTTCTACGGAGGTTATCAACACTGTAAACATTGTAGAACGTGACGAGGCATCAAAAGTGCATTACATACGGGAAATAACCCAGGAGACTTCATTTTTCACTCACGAAATTTTCGCCTCTTCTAGATTGTATTCAAAAATAACAAGAATTTTTTGTGCTTTTTCCGAATCCTCAAAACAGTTTTGAAAAAAAGACTGAATCGTTTTTGTCTTCCAACAGATCTCAATGTAGTACCGTGACAGTGCAGTGCTGGGCTCACGACACCGTCTATTGCCGAATCTCCTTGTTCAGGTACATTCTTTTCCAATGTGCAAAACCTCGACGTTGCGTATGGAGATAATGCTGTGTTCTTTGGGAATACTATATCGGCTGACCTTTTGTCAGCGATGCCTGAGGTTTGTTTGCTTTCTACCTCACATTGAGGGTTAGTCAAGTATTCGCTCACTTTAGTATCATATTGCGCACCGCCATTCTTGCAGATTTTCGCGTCATCGCGTCACTTTTTACATCGATAGTCAGCCGACCTCAAATCCCCTTTTTCATCTTGCGTTGTAAAAATATATGTGCTTCATGTCAAGAACAACATTGTCTGCATGACTCAGAATTGCAGAATAGACTGCCGAGATATAATAAATTTTCAAGCGCGCTGAGAGGAAATTCTATGACCACAGTCATGTGGGTACAGAACAGGGCAGCGAACGATAGTTAGGCTGGCCGTTCCATAGACTTGCGTCAGGCGTTTTTTGCCGTATGCCAGCGTTGGATCAGCGGCTGCCTACGAAAAAGTTTAGAACTAACCCGCCGAACCTGGCGTAGGCTCAAAACGTGAACGATATCTATTAAGCGTCCCCTTGTGCTCCGAAAAAACGCTGTCGTAACGCGTGCGACCACGGCTAGATCGATTACTATTCTTTTCAGCATGACCTCTCTCAAATGCTTAGAAACGACTGGTCGCCCCTCTCAAATCGCTGCTTTAATGCTCAAAGGCGCTGATGCGCGCTATCGAGAATTGACACGCAGGTATGAACGCTCAGCTTTTTGACCTCAAAGCCGCTTTATCGGCAGGCCCGGTCCAATTGGCCATCCAGGTTGTACAATCTCAGGAACTTGTTTGGTGCGGGCTTTTTCTCTACGGATGCTCATTAAAGACATTTGTTGTTTCGTCGAAAAAAAAATATTGGTGGTAATGCCTGGTTCTCAGCGTTCAAAATATGAATCTCTCAAGCCCTGGTGAGTACAACACCTTGTTTATGGTCAATCTTGATGGCAATCCTTATGAGAAAGAGGGAGAAGTCGCTCACTGGATTGTTTCCAACATACCAGATGGGAAAAGCGTCAAGGATGGGGAGGAGGTAGGGTCTTTATCCGATATCTGGAGATTTCAGTACTACTTTACAGTTTTTGATGTCGACACAGCTCTCATGCGGCTTGACATTATCTACTGCCTTTATGTTTGTAGGTGGTACGGTATCTTCAGGGCGCGGGCTCATTTTGCGGCTCAGGTTATCACTTCGGAGAGTCACGCTTTCGTCTTGTTTCGGCATGAAAAGAAACGCACTGAAGATCGTTATTCGCGTGTGACTACAGGTGAGGGTGATGACGGCTTAACAAGACACTTAATGGAGTAAATTGCTGGCGTTACTCATTCATCAGGGGGGGGGCAGAGCTGCCTGCGCTAGGGTATGCTTGGGCTGCTTGAGCGCGCAACTTCTGCTGGAGCTAGTGTAGTGTGCGTTAGCAGAGCAATTGATTGCGCATCTGTGAAGTGCAGTGTTGTACGACACCCAGCCCCGCGCCCCCACCCTTCAAAAGGAGAGTCTTCCACTGTCTTTCACAACCCAGGATCGTCCCCCCCCCACCTAGGTGTTCCTAAGATTCTGCTATCGAGAAAGGGGGTGGGCGGTGTTTGTCTACAATTACCAGTACTTTTGGCACGCCGCCCACTAAGGGGGGGGGGTGTGATACATAGCAGCTGAAACGAAAAAGAAAAACATCAATAGCAACGCTGAAGCAGTTCCCAACGTCTCCGAATGATGAGTACATGCCGGGTAATGCGCACGGTAGCGCGATTACAATCTCGTTTGCTGCGAATGATGGGGCCTGTTAAGGGGGATGGGTTTGGCGCTGCATTAGCCCGTTTTTTCCTTCGGTAAGCGACCAATCATAGTCGTTTACCAGCTTCAGCAGCTGGTGGAGCACGGGCTAGCGGGTGTGCTAAACCCTGTCTCACTGACACATCATCATCCGCAAAGAACAAGACTGTCCCATGAGACAGTATCGCGTCTATTTACTTCTGTGCGTACCATTAAATGGAGGTCTGGGGAAGGGAAAGGACGTCGGCGCCGCCACATGCCCCTCCATATAAAAAAAACGTCAGCGTTCATTGCTGTGTTGAAACAGTTCCTGTGAACTTCATTGGCCAGGATTTCCTTTTTTTTCCTTTCCTTTGTCTCTCGCCTTCGTTTGTACAAAACATATTTTCTTGCATACTGGAAATTTTTCATAAAGACACTTAGATTTGAACGTAGGCATGTATCAGCACAGCAGACGAAATAATTTTGCGAATGATGTGCGGATACTTTCAGCGACACTCTTGCTGGCCGAGTTTTCTCGATGTCTAGTTTGTATAAGAAGAACGAGGACGTAATTACGCCTTCATGTGTAATGTTTTTCCAGACGACTTATGATATTTCGGTGAAGAACCAGCTACATAAAATGGGTGAGTGAACTGATAATAAGACTTTTCAATGAATAAAGAGTGCAGCTTTCAGCGTTATTGCCTTCCTGGCGGCACACTTTCTACTTCTAGTCTGAATCGTAGTGGCGTACTGAACGCAATATGGTCTATAAAATGACTTGCGGGGCAACGTTTGTACAAATCGGTGTTTTCGTCTTCTCCGAGGAATTTTGTAATCACAGTATGCGGCTCTGACGAATCAGAGAAATAAACGCGAAAAAAATTTATGCCAGCAGTTTGGCGCTTTCGCGAAAAGGGGCTTGATACGCATCCAAAGGTGGGTTCGCGCTTCGCTCAGCGAAAACGCTAGTTGCATCTGCTCGGGCGTTTTTCTCATGAGCGGAGGCAGCGACATCATAGCTCCTTTAGCTTTGGCGACCACTTCGCCGGCTTTTCGTCATAGCGTTTTACAATTCTCCCGATCGATACGTATTTATTGCTTTTCGCCGTTTTTCTGGGTCGCAGACAGTGAATAACGCCGTCCCAAATTGCTGGCTCTGAAGAGTAGAAGGCTTGGTTGGTGCGGGCGGGAGATGATCCAAAACTTGACTGCTAGACCGCGCGCGTGGTAAGCAGGCCTTTTGCCATTGCAGCTTTAGCGCCTCAGTGTAGCTTTTAGTAAGTTTTTATACTGCTTTCCTGAATTAACTTTCTTTTCCCCTAAAAATGCTTCAGTTGTGTATTTGTGAGTGTTCTCGCTTTATCTCTGTCTACCTTAAGAAATATATGTTGCAGGGCTGAAATCGCCAATTTATCAATATCAGTATAACGAAGCTTTGAAACCAGAACAGAAGGAGTTCCCTAAGAAGCCGCAACCATTTGACTTGTGAGTTTTTTACAGGAGAAGACTTCTTTTGGTTCTCTCTTCTCTTCTTGACTTTTTCCCTCGAACAACTGGAATTCTATGGGGTTCATTCCGAATATTCAGATATATGGATATGTACCGAGATCCTAAAGAAGTAGAACAGGAGTTGTTAGAAGAAAGATTGCGACGTGCTCAACTCGACGATTACCAAGTATGCCTGG